ACAACAACTTTTCCATCCTAAAGGATGATCCCTCCATTGGGGCCCTCTTCCCTGACCACCTAATCTGTGTAAACTTCATGTTCACAGCTTCCCAGACCACCCTCAGCAATCATCCACACCAGGCACTTTGCCCTGCAACAGATCTCGCTGTATCACCCGCAAGTACATATCTAATACCACACTCATTCAAGACCCCTCAGGACAATTCTGGATCACTCAGGTGACATCTTGTAACTCCAGCAACCTTATTTACTGTATCTCTTGCAGTAAACGCCCAGCCATCTACATTGGGAAAACCGGAAGGAGACTTGGAGACCGCTTCAGAGAACATGTTAGGGCTGTGAAGATTAAAGATTTTTCCAAGCCCATAGATTCTCATTTCACCTATGATCAGACTGATCTCTCCATCTGCGTTCTCAAAGTAGCGTTTCTTAACTCCTATACCAGAAAGACATCAGAAACTAAAATTATCCTGAAACTTGATTCACACCTTCCCCCTTCTCTCAACGACAGACTTGTTTTCTTCTAACTCTCTCTATTCATTTGTAGGTTTTGTTTCACACCTCTCCTCACCTCTCTCGACCTCGCACCACTTGATTGGCCACTCTGCCTCTCCCCTGCTCCCGCCTCCTCCTCTCTCCTGGCTTTTGTTTTCCCATGCTATATCATCTATGCTGACTGCCCTATCTTTCTTACACCCGAAGAAGGCTCCACAGCTGAAACGTTGTGTTTTCTTTCTTCTCTTTTCAGCATGGAATAAACCTATTACTTGTCATTTTTCAGAGAAATGTGTTAGATGTTCCATTTGCTCTATAGGAATAAAAGTAGTGATAGTCTGATGGCAGGGACCTGAAATGGAGTAAAATATACTGTAAGTACAGTACACCACTCTACTGGCAGAGGGAGAGTCTGAAGAGGGCGTCTAGAACAAAATATCCAGCCAATAGCCATGCTATTGAAACTGAATCTTAGAATCTTTCAAGAAACAGATGGATGAAATACTTGGATTGATTTGATACTACCAAAGAATTTATCAAAATTTTATTAAATTTTTAGATTATGTACTGATTAAAAGGATAACCCTGCCTGTAAGACTCTCCTCTTGTCTCAAATGTCTGATATTCAGGATTGGGAAGTATCTTATGCTTCAAGGCAAATCCTCAGGATTAACCAGCCGCATGAACACGCTCTCAGTATATTCTGAGAAAAAATGCTGAACATGGTGCTTTGTTTCTAGCTAACATGCCAGGTCTCATTATCACGTTATGATTCTCCACTGCATCATGAGAGCAGCCAGCTGAATCAGCTCTGCTCCAGTATTCCATGGAAAACACTGTTGGCCTTGTTGAAATAGTCATTTCTTCAATAGTAGCTCCTGTAAACTGGTTTTATAATCAGTTGATATCTGATTCTTCCCTATGACATTTTCCAAAACTAAAGTGGAATCAGCATTCTGACACTCTAGAATCCACACAACAGAAACTGAAGTTTGTATTCCTTTTAGTCCGTAAAACAATTAACACAACAATGACAGTAAAGTGAATAGAAAATGAATCTGTTTGTGAGAACAGAAAAAAAGATTAAGGAGTTTTATATACTCACCCATATGCTATTCAGTGCTTTTAAGTATTACAGGTAAATAAGTGATGAGAACCATTATGAATAAAAGATACAGCACATTCAAACAAAATAATATATATTATATAGGTTTAAAGTAAATCAGCATACAGTATCACTGCTGAAGATCATAAAAACTAAAATGAAGCATATTCTGCTAATGCACTTACAAAAAAAAACTCAGCAAGGACAGAGTTTACATGTTGTAAATAATATTCTTCAATGATAATGTAGTTTGATAAATAACCTAGTTACATTGCATGCTTTGGAAATCTTAAGCTTATTTGTTGTATTTTCAAAAATCAGTATTAGGTTACAAGTTGTACATACTGCAAAGCTAAACTTGTCACTACAGAACATAAAACAAGAGGCTGATCTTAAAGGTACTAAGTTCCTGACAATTAAAGATAAATAAAACAGGAGCTTCAGTAAATGTATCGTCCCTGTGTTCTGAATATCTTAACAGACACATCACTGGATCACAAAAAAACATCCAGGCAAAATTTAGTGACATCTTACATAGTTCCACAAGCTCTATGATCTCAGTCTGCAATATTTCCAATATGAAGGACAGGGCCCCCTTCATGTATTCAATTAAGTAAATTATCATATACTGTATAGCAATAAATACAAATGTGGTAGAGACAGAATGACAAAATGCCATTCACCATTGCTAAACATTAATCTTACTTTTCATTTCTTCACATTTACTAGAAGCACAAAAATGTTTAATAAATACAGAAAAAGATTCTTGAACATCTGCAAAAGAATAAAAATGCACCACATTTGCTATGGCCAAGACAAACAAAAGCAAATGAAAGTAAAATAACACTCACTATTGTAACTGAAAACATGTCTGGTATCTCATAATATTGGTCCAATAACTTTATTGTAATAGTTTTGAAATTTAAACTAAACCCTGTGGGCAAGATGAATACTATAATGACAAAATAATACATACAGTACATAGTTCAAGTAACATTAATATTACTGTAGCAGAAAAAAAATAACACTCAAACGCTTTTCATGTATTCAAACCCCTTCATTGTATTGCTCCTCAAATATTTCATAAGAATGCAGAGATTAATCATAGATATTTTGCCCACTTCACTCCTTTAGCTATGGAAATTCCTTTTTTCTTCTTGAATCTCTCATAGTTTATTGTGATGTTCCTGAACAGTATTTGGGTTACTTAAAAGTAAAACTGAATCTGTTCTGGAATCTTTATAACAATGATTCTACTTTTTATTGCAGAGAGGGCTTGAATTATTCATAAAATAAGGACAAGTCGCCCGGAGGCTAAGAGATTCTTTTCGTTTACGTGTCAGAAGTGTCTTAAAAGACTGAACCAAAAATAAGTAGCACAAAGGAAAAAGTGCAGGCAATCATACTACTGCACAGCTCTATAGTTTTTTTGGCATTTAAAAAAGAAAAATCCAGTCTATTCCTTGGATTCCAAAGGCATAAATCTTGGAAATGGACAAATTCCAGCATTACATAATCTATAATGGAAACAATCCTAAGAACTAAACTTATGTATGAAACACAAACTGGTGTGGAAAACAAATTCTTCTGTTTAAAAATGACAATTCCTCAACCATCTCTAATCCACTTTGACCTTGAGACTGCCATAGACATTTTAGATTTATAATGTAAGAATAGTGATTATAAAACAAAGCTCTAATACTTCAAGGAATTAATTTATGGTATAACTTTTAAATCATCTTCAACAAGGCTCTGCTCATGAAATATGTCATCAGTCCATCTCATATAACTATCATACTCTTTTGCTAAAGCCATAGTGAACAGGATAAGAGTCAGAATTCTAGCCTATTTATTTGTTTTTGGTATCTATAAGGCACATACATCTTTATAAGGAAAGATTTTATGCACTATTCTAAAGATCCTGATGTGATAAATATAAATTCCACCAAAGTACACAATGACCCTGCAAGCACTGCAGGAGCTGAAACCCTGACAAGGTGTCTGTGTCATCATATTCAGCTACGCTTGCTGGTGATCTGAGTAGAGGCCACCCAGACAGTAGAACAAAAGCCTACTGGCAACCTATTCCACTTACACATTCGTATGCTCAATGCAACCCTTTGCAGAGCACAACAAGGTTGCTTTATCACCTACCGACAGCATATATTCTAGAAGGTTACAGGAAAGATGATTCACAGCCTTGTATTTCTGTTGTGTGAACTATAACAGCTGAAAACTAGACCAACTCACTGTCCCTGTAAGAAAAGTTTGCAGTTTGCTTGTGTGGCTATGTAAGTAACAAGGTGAGGATTACAGAAACAAGGAGCCAGCAGCTGTTGCTTTTTGAGAGATGAATTCCAGGGGTCTGACTGCACTGGTATTATAGGCTATTGTAAAAATCACACCCAAGTTAACTTCCAGTTTATGAAGCCCAGTGTTATCATAATGTGCATATAACAAAAAAAAAATCGAGTTCTATCTACCAAATTTATGCATGGTTACAGAATTGTAATGTTTCTGATCTGGCAGGGTTGAATATTGAGACAATGGTTATAAGGAGTTAAAATAATTTAATCTGACACCAATTTACTTTATAAACACTATATAACTGTTTTAATTTTTATCACCATACCAAAAAAAGAACTTATAGCCCTAGAAAGATTTCAAAGAAGAACAAAACGAGTGAAAAATGATTCCTGGAATTTGTCATATACTGTACAGGATAAGGCATATATAATCCTCTTCAGTCTGGAAAGAGTTTGAGAGGAGACATAAATTAAATATATATGATCTTCAGAGGTACTGATAAGGGTGATTTAGGACACTATTACACAACCTGTAGCGAAACTAGTACATGGGATGACAATTGTAAAATTAGACCTTAAATGTCTGGGCAGTTTTAAGAAACTGTTGAGTGACACTACAACTACTGAACAACTAAATTAACTAAATGAATGAACGACTAAACTAATGTACCTAATAAGAAAAAATGGGCCAAAAGGCTACCTCTCGTTTACATTCTTTCTTAATTTTGTGAAATGTACATTCTATAAGTAATCCTTGATCACAACGTTGACAACATATTTCTAAATTCTCCTTAATTTTCCCTTCCATGTTGTAGATTATAGGATTTGGTCTACTTTTTATCTGTTGAACACAGTAAAACTGTTTAAAACTCCTTTCTGAAAAGGACAAAAAATAATACAAATTTTCAAAAACCCTTACTTGCACATCATTATATGTGTGAACAGACTCAATTTCACTTTTCCCACATTCCCAGAAAGCTGTTTTGAAAATGTATTCTTTCTCCATTTTAGTGAAAAAATAATGATTCTGATGTTAATTATGCTTCATCACAAAAACATTCACAACGAAAACACATTTCTCAAGTTACTCACCAACAGTGTCACAAGGTTCATCTTTGTGGACACAGAAATCAGTCCTAAAAAATTAAAATACACAGTTGTTAATCAAAAGTCACAGACCAAATAACTTAATTTATCTGAGTTTCCACAGTTTTCTTTCAACAGTTTCAGGGTAGAGATAATAGGCAGTAACTACACAATTGCAATCCAGATGCCCCCCGATCCATAAAAAGGTAGTTAAAAGCCAGGTAGGTAGTTGCAGAACAATAAGTCTTACTTGTGTTTAATGTAAATACTTTTAAAAAGTTGGATAATTAATACTAAAATAGAGGATCTTAAAAGGATTTTAGGAGATATTCAACATGGTTTTAGAACAGATAAATATTGCTTATCTAACCTGTTGTAAGCAACAGCATGTTTAGGTTTTCATAGCGTTTTTTGCTAAAGTAACAAAATATCCACATAAACCATTATTAAATATTAAAGGCCGTTCAATCTAGGACAAAACACATATATCTGGGTAGAGAACAAGTTAATGGATAGAAGAAAGAGAGCTCATATAAAAAGTAAATGTTGAAATGAGGGTGATTTACTGTAATCAGTTAAATACCATAGGGTCATGTATTAGGCCTGCTAGTCTTCCTAAACTGAAACTGATTTGGACATATTTAGAAAACAAGTCAAATTCTCAGATGATCCCAAAACAGGAGGATCAGCTGACAGAGAAAGCTAAATACATTCAAGAAGACGATATTTTCAATAGACAAACACAGTGTTACTAGTTTGCTGCCAATCACAATAGACCCTGATGAACATCCCTATTGATAGCAAATGTTAATCAGCATAATTTATGTATATCATGTTTGTTCAGTAAAATGTCAATGCACCTGCTACAAATATGTCTTATTCTTCTTAATAACTTTGTGAATTTGCTGTAGATATAAATAATAACTGAAACTGCTAGTGATTTTTATGCTTGTTACATACTGCAACATGGAAAACACTGTACTTGAAGAAGAACATTATCCTCTAGATAATGTGAGGAAGCAATAAAAAAGCCAAACAAAATGTTAAAATATACAGTTAAAATTCAAGTCAATGGACCTAAAGTTTAAATCCCTTGAAGTACAGTTAAACCTGAACTTTAGTACATACTCATGTGGAATACTGTGTACAGTCTCTACATTACAAATACATTATTTCTTTGCAAATGGTCCAAAGAAGAAAGACCAGATATATTCCTTAAAACCTCATATACTGACTGGCTAAAAGAACTAAAAATGTTTAGTCTTGAACCGGGAGGAGTATACGAGAATCTGAAAATTCTCTTTCAGAAAAAGTCAACCCAATGATATTTTCAGGATCAGAAAATCATCAAAAAGGGAACATAAAGAGAACTGTTTTTAGAAATGAAAACAAGATGCAGTCATTTACTCTAGAGGTTGTGGAAGAGTGGAACAAGCTACCCAGTCATGTTGCTGAAACATTTTGACGTATATCAAGAAACTGGGGTGGCTTCTTACTAGAATCCAAATGAGCATGATCAGAAAAGTGGCATAACCTTATTTGTAATCTTTCTTCTGTTTTTAAAAGAATAAATTAATCAGCATCATAGAGTCGTGAATAATAATACTTTCATTTAATCAAAACCTCCAGAGAGAAAATAAAAGCATGGCTGTCACCCTTTGGAGAAGCTATGCTCAGATAAGACCAAGATGGGTATGCTTGATTACTTTTTCTCAAGATGAAAATAAATGCTAATATTAAATTTCAACATACATAAAACTAGATGGCACCATGCAGACGGTTTCTTCTCAAAACACAGGTTCAAACCAGGATAGAATGACAATTACCCTTCCCTGCAGGATTTAGTCCTGAGGAACGGTACACAACACAAGTTACACAACTGGAGTTTAAAATTAACATTTCTTCCTGTTAATCACACATAAAACAATCTGCTTGCCCCAGGGTTTATGGGATAATGTTCCAGAGAATCTTTTATCTCTTTATAATATGCAAATTGAAAAATAAAATTATTCCAATTTTTCGTAAACACTTCAAGCTCTGTGAAAACAATCTGAGGCAGAGCTGCTGCTGTAGAGGTTTTCTGTGGGAAACATTAACTCAGGCAGAGCTAATATAGCACTCTGGAGGGCCATCATAATATATGTACAGTAGTATAAGCATTATATACAGTATAGTATCAAATCATGAACACAATGTATATAAGAATATACAGTATGTATGTATACTTATGTGCAAATGTAACACTCCTACCATAATCTGTCACTGAGTAATGTGAAAGTGAAATTTCTACTAGTGCTGAGTAATTGACAAAGACAGATCTCTGGTTCTTCTTAGAGGTTTAACACATACAAGTGACTTGTGTTCCTACTTCCTACTAACAGCCCATGTGAATATCCTGTTAACTAGGCAACGTGTGAACAGCTGTATCTCAGCATCTGGATATGGAGTGAAAGAATGTTTGGAATGTACAGCACACCAGAAAGCAGTGATACCTGGGAAAGCAGTTACATAAAGTGACCTTTGTTGAAATGAGTATAAGAAAAGCAGCTGAACCAATCCAGCAGAACTGCTTTTATTTCTGCATATTATTTATAATGTTTATATTTATTATAATTATTAGATTAATTATTAAATAATAGTGGTTATGTATGTAGATGATTGTTGCCTGCTCCAAATTATTTTGTTCATTGAATTAGGGTTTTAAAGGTGACTATCAGAGATTATTCCCATTTCTGTGGCCTGAATAGTGATACAAATCTTAAAGAAGAAAGGTTCTGAAAGCATACAGAGGTTCTTTTCCATAAAAATACAAATTTAATTTCTGTAGTTCAAGTAGGTAGCTGCGTCAGCATGTAGGCTGCAAAGGAACAAGTAAATGTTTATTCCATTTCTTTCTATTCCAAAGAGAAGAAAAGAAACAACGGTTCAACTGTGGACCCTTCTTCACACCCAAAGAAGCCTCCACAGCGAAACATCGTGTTTCTTTTCTTCTCTTTTAATGTGCAAGTGACTTTCTTCATACATTTTTCTATGTTGAGGATGTTAGGGAGTATAAGGAGTTAAAACTGCCATCTCAGCAGATTCTACTACGTTTAAATTGAGCATTACTTAAGAGTTTATTGAAGAAGGTCATCAAATGACTTTTAATTACATTGGTCAGCCTGAGTTCACACAGGAAGCTGCTTTGAACTTGCAATTAGCATGTCAAACCCAACAACAAAGTTCAGAAAATTACAGAGGATCGTTTAGTCTAGATATACATAGCCAGATGATGTGTGTGATACCACAACAATGCTGGGATAATACCGTTAGCTCAGTCTTTCCTTTTAATTCAGATTGGCAAGGAAGCAACTTCAGTCACAGTCCCAAACCCTGTAATTTAACAAAACCTAGTCTTACATATCAATCTGTGAGTAGTTTTTAAGTAAAGAAACAAAAATGACCCACATCCTCTTATGTTGATACAGCAAGACTTTGTTTACTCTTACAGTATGTTAGTAAAACAAATATTTTGGTTGAATTTTTAAATTAAAACTAAGGCAAATACAGAAATCTAACTAACAACAAAGCCATCATGCAAAACAAGCACAGTCTGTACACTTGCCCCGAGTAAAAGGAAAGTCCAACTTTTACATCTAATCAGTTGGATTTATTGCTTGTCAAAAGCAGCCATGATTGCTGTACATTTTTTTGGCAATTGCATGAGAGCTAAACATTTCTCTTTATTTTCGACCATTTTCAGAAATTCTCAAATATCTCTTGATGAATGTTTTTGATTTGTTGAATTTAAGGATGAAGTGAATGTGATGCTCGGCAGGGTGGTAGAAAGTACTTGGCCATTTCGGTGCTTTAATTGCATGGAGAACTGGGAGAAGAGGTGGTAGCAGGATTGACGCTAGTTTACAGTGACATCTGAGAACAGATGTGATAAATCTCATGTGATCTGCTCCAAATTGTCACAAAAAGGCAGTTATTTCAGGAACAGGGTTGACAGCACAGCGTATACTCACATGCAAACGTTTTCCACATTTTTCAAAAATGGGCATTAAGGGTTCTCGAGAACCAGAAAAGAGAGAAAAGGGAGTACTGTCAAAAAGTTTATTAAAGAGTTTATTTTCCTGCCAAAATTATATTATGAAAGTGATCATTATTATGTTATAGTGCGTTGCAAAAATATTTGGTCCCTTCCTACAGTGTCCCATTTAGTGAAATTTTTAAAATTATGCATATACTTTTTTTAAAGTTAATATTTAACTCAAAACCTGAATGCTCCAACTGAAGTCTTCTAAGGGTAAGATACGTTACAGAAAATGTCAAAACCTACAGAGAAAAAAATGGAATAATAAGACTAAATAACTTTTCAGACCTGTAAATTTCATATGTGGTAGAAGCAACTTTTGCAGTTATTACAGCCACAAGTCTACATATCTATCAATTTTGCCTATCAAATTGGTTCAGTTCTCACCCAGTTCTTCTTGGCAAATTTAATAAAACTCAATCAAATTACTTGGAGACTGATTGTGAGCAAATCTTTTCACATATTCCCAATAGGATTGAAGTCTGAATCTTGAAAAAGCTACGTATGGTTTTCACATTCTTATTCTTAATCCAGTGTGCTTTTAATTACTGTCCTACTAAAAGGTAACATTTAATTCCACATTTTTTTTTCAAATTGTATTCCAATTGTAAATCTGAAGCAGGTTTGCCTCTTAGATTTGCCTGTATTTTGTTCCATTTCTCCTCAGTCCTGAAAAACTTCTCAGTACTTGCTAATAGGAAGCAGGTCAAAGACCAAAGCAGGTCAGATTTGACTCATGGACTCCCATCTCACCCATTGAACTCTGTAGCTCTTTCAAAGTTTCTGTTGACCTCACAGTTGCTTTCTTAACCAGTACGACCCTTGGCCACCTGTCCACTTTGGAGAGATAGCCTGTTCAAGACAGTGTCTGGGTGCCTTCCACAACTTCAAGTTCAACTTGGTACAGTATGCTTCAATGGTACAGTAATTGCTTGAAGGACCTTACAGAGACAGGTGTATTAATTCTGAAATCATAACTAACAGTATTATTTCATAAAGAGGTATTTTGAATAATTGTGTGCCCCAATAAGGTGATTTTTTTCTCAAATTAATTGAGGTTTGCTACAGCTAAGCATTTTAATACTTATGATATCATGACTTTTCCTTCTTTTGTCTTTCATATTATTTCTATTTTGTTTGTTTTTGCTTTTAATGCAAGGAGCAGGTTTTATATATAACAAATAATATTTGTTACTTTATGGTGTCATGACTGCAAGCTTTAAAGCAACAAAATGTGAAAGTGGTGCAAGATTGTGATTACTTTTGAAAGGCACTTTCAATTTTCTAAATGATAACTAAAATAAAAATATCAAATTCTAGTCACAAAAAGCTCAGTTTCTTCAAAGCCAAAACATCTGAGTTTCTTTCAACACTGCTAAATAAATTACTGTTTTATCGCAAAATATAGAATGATAAGCCTGCAGAGGGCCAGTATTGTCTCTAATCAAAGTTATTTAATGACTTTTAATCTCATCAGGAGCTGTTAACAGGATGCCGTCTTCATGAATGCTACTTTAATTTATCTGACGTGAAGATTATCTTTCCTGTAGACTCAAGAAAACAATACCAGTACTTAGCAGAGATGTTTCACTGAGTGTTTTTTTAAATTAAACTACAGTTCAGAAGGCCAAAATATAATTCCTGTAGTATATGCTCTTGTCTTTCAAAATGATCTCTACATTAAACGCATTAGACAGATGTTCATTCTGCATACTACGTCTTCATAGAGAGGCCTTCTAGGTACTCAGATATCATATTTAACATGAACTGAACAGTGAACAAAAGCCTTCACTGTTTAAACATTCCCTGTGTCCTTTTACATTGGACGCCTTGAAAGATGAATAGCATCTGACATGCTACATGGGAATTATTTTAAACAAAAGAATTCTTATTTCCAGAGAATTATATCAGGTAACAATACCTAAATCAAAATATGGAATGTGTCATTTTCTGCCCATAATAATCCTCCTGAGTATTATGGCAAAGAACTGGATGCAGATTCCCCACTGACAAGGACAAAAGTGAGTAATTAAGACCATTAGCATTATGCTTACAAGATTTTTAATCTTCCTCATAGAAAAAGTCTAAAGACAAGTCTGTCAGAAAATTCCTGGTTGTCATTTGATAGGCAGTGCCTGAAAAATTGCAGTCAAAAGGTCATCTTGACAGCAGGCTCAAAATGAAAAACTGGCTACAGAAGCACCTTGTAACGAACACGGCCACGTCCACAGGGGGAATATCATCCTTCCCTCCAGGTACTTGATTGTTTCCAAGGTAACGAGCGCCCCCATACTCTTCCTGCTGCCAGTGACAAAAGCTCTCCAAAGACCTCTCTCCATGGTGTCCAATCTTCAGCTTCTCCTGTGAGAAACAATCAACCAAAACAGCAACATAAACCTCTTGCACCCCATGTTCAAACCTGGCCTGACTCAAAGGGGAGTCCTGCAAGACTGTTCATATTTAAATTTAAAGCTTTGACAAGGGTTATGATCTCTTTTGTCAATTACCTTAGTGATCTATGGAAATAATATAAACTGGACTTGTATTATGTATATTATATTTGTTTAAAAACAAAAGGGAATTGCGTACAACAGTAATTCCCAATTCCCATAGCTCACATGTTGAGCACAAGCAACAAAAATATTAATCATTTGTTCAGGAAAGGATCATCCACAATTTGTTTTCAAAATAAATCAACGCTCAATACACTGTGAGCAAGTAAAACGTATGTTTCTTTTAGCTCTTCAGAGATATTACCAGAAAAGAACTGGCCTATAATTAGGACTTTACCAATGATGATCTTATCTGCAAAGAAAGAGGCATCCAGTTCTGCTATTTAGATAGTATTATCATTTGTCAGAAATGATATCCCAAAATAAAAAAAACATATTTGCTAAACTCAGCCACCAGTTTATTATAATTTAAAAAGCAACGTATCTGCAATAAAAGGGTTCAGATGGACTTACTGGGCGGCTGTGGAGCAGGACCAGCTTCGTGACACGGATGTTGAGTCTGATCCCCAGGCTCTTATGATGAAACATATTGTAGACCTGTTGGAACAAAGAATTATTGCTGGCCAGCCACCAGTCATATCCTTCTTTATACAACAGCATAGGGAACAAAGTACAGGACTGTGAAAAAAGACTGCACTGAGTCTCACTTGAAAAATAAAACACTGCAGTTTTCCTGAGCACCTGGTTAAATAAAATACAAGCTCATTCAGCTCAACAGTTTCAAAGCTTTTTATGACAGAACATGACGAAAGCAATAAATGCGATTTCAGTACATTGAGAGCAGGTATAAGTTGCTTACACTGTCAGTGGGATCTCTTTAAAATGAAGAGAGATAGAATTTAATAGTATTAAACTCTGTTACTCATAGGAAAAAGAAGTTAAAAATTCTGTACATGATCCACCATAGATATCAAAATCCTCTTAATTAAAAGTTTACTTACTGCTTACAATAAAATGTATCACACTGGACTAAAATATAAAATAGTTCAGGTGGGTAGCTGCGTCAGCATGCGTAGGCTGCAAAGGAACAAGTAATAGGTTTATTCCATGCTGAAAAAAAGAAGAAAGAGAACACAACGCCTCAGCCGTGGAGCCTTCTTCAGGTGTGAGAGGTTCTGGTTCCAGGTTCTTCACACCTGAAGAAGGCTCCACGGCCGAGGCGTTGTGTTCTCTTTCTTCTTTTTTTCAGCATGGAATAAACCTATTACTTGTTCCTAAAATATAAAATGCTTCTTTTACTAGAATCAATGTTTCCTGCTGTGGACAACCCCAAAAAGCAGCAGACATGTAATGGTAGAAAACTATTTTACATAATTAGTTGACAACAATATTGTTTATGGTAACTTCTGGTAATCCTAGACATACAGTAACAATGTTACAGTGACCACCTTGCATATAATGTTACAAACATCCATGAAAAAATCAAAGGTCACACCATCACATATCAAACATGAGCACTCAAAATATCCAATTGTTTCTATGAAAGAAATCAATGGCAATGTGTGCCAAAGGAAAAAGCAGATATTAATTCCACATTGAAAAGCAAAGAGAAAAAAGAAAAACACGATATAGAATTTTCTTGATGTGTATTTTGAAGTCTTTACACAGATTCCACAGCTGAAAATTGTGTTTTCTTCTTTTTTATTTTTCAGCTTGAGGTCAAACTCTACTTGTTCCTTTGTAACTATGGCATGCCATACAGACATACTTTTCTCTACAATCTTTCCACATCATCGAGGTCCTAGTCCTTAAAAACTAGCATTGCAGATTGCATGTGGTCAGCTAGATGCCAAGACAAACTTCTCACTCCCTCACATCTCTCCTGCACTTCGCTGGCTTTTGTTGGCCTCAAAACTGCAAAATATACTTTTTTACAGCTTTGAATCTAAATACTTTTAATCAGCTGGCAGGTTTAGCACTTGGTAATGAGGAACTGCAGGGCGTGAAACATCAGTATGGTTTCTGATACTAGCCAACCCCTCGAGGTGTTGAGGCTAGCCAAGAGAAACACTGAATTCCTGTTCAGTAGAGTGCAATTTAAAATGACTTACAACCTTTTACACAAAGCATGTAGCATTTCACATTTCACACATATTGCTATAGTTTGAGCAACACAGAGCATTCCAACTCCAGCTAAACTTAAGAAAGACAGATGAGACAGGGCAAAATGATGTAAATGTCAGGCTTAGCTATTAAACAAAGTGTAATCTGTATTACAAGTTACGTTAAAACAAGCCAACTGTACTGTGCACAACAGTCTAAGTATGGGCTCCATGCTCATCCTTTAGTAAATGTAATAAACTGATTGTCACAATTCTGTCCTTTTCCTAGTGTTGCCTTCAAAAATACCTTGTGGCAGTTATTAAAGTTTTAGGTTTTAGGATCAAAACCCATCAATTTTACTGAAAGGGAGCAATTTGTAGGATTTTTCATTATTACACTTAAATGAGATTTCCGCAGTTCTTATACATGGTTTAACACACCTCTTCCGCACACTTAGTTTGTGCCTATGAAAGTAGTGATTTTGTTTTGGCACTGCTTGATTGTGTCTGTGGTTTAAAGACCATTGTGTTGACATCTCTTACCATGTTCATGACGGTGAGGATGAACCTCTGCGCAGCCTCAGCTCCGTGATACTGCACCATGTCAGAGTCGGCGACAACCACCGTTTCCACTACATATTCACTGTGCAGCCGGATAGCATTTCTCTTGCTCCTCCCATCCTCTGTTGGTTTGGTCTGCTTTAATTTCTTCTTTCCTGCAACACACCAAATAATACACTGACAGGTCGAAACTACTGTACAGGCAGATAAAATACATGGAAATAAAGATTGGGATTTGATTGTCAAAGAAGATATCCCTAGTTACTTCATGCTGGGCTCATACTGTAATCACAGTAGAAAATTAGCTCTGCCTCAGTGAACCTTTACTAGAAAACACTCAGAATGAATGTTTACAGAAGGTTGTATTGCAGCAACTACAATCTCTACTTAGGATGTCTAAACAAAACTAAATTCCTGTCTTAAGTACATATTTCTCTGCATGTAACAATTAAATACATAAACATTCATTATTTTCTTTTATCTAATTCAAGACTTCTTTAGGCTCTGACTGCATGCATTCTGAAGGTACTGCTCATAATTCAGAAAGCCAGAACAAATATTTATCAAGTACTGTATAGGTACTCTTTCCAATGGTGCAAAAAAAGAAATTTTTCAACAGTTTTTTTCAACATCGGATTTATAGGGAAAACAAAGGAGCGTAAAACTGATTCATCATATTTGTAACTCAGATTTTATTGATATACAGCAGCTTTAGATAAATCCAATAAAATAGAGCTTTTCCAGAAACTTTAGGGAGGAAAAACGAGCTATTATTGTAGCCAGGGTCAATGCTTGGGTTAATGGAATTAGTCTACCATGATCACCTTTCTTGTGCACGGCCTTTCTGCTTTCATCATGACCTCCATATTTCAGTAGCATGTGGAGAAAGAGCGAATAGAGAATTCTTTCAGTGTAGCCTATGTTGTTTTTGGCAGTTCCTTCCTGAAGATTTCAGTCTAGTGATCTGCATTTGTGTGGAGAATCACTTCTTTAAAATTAGTAGTTTCAACAAAAAGTAGTGACAATATCATTTAACTATAGCTAATTTTACACCATAGTAAGAACTTAAACTGTTCTGTGAAGATTACATGATAGGACTACATCTCCACAAAATTCATATAAAATAAAAAAATGAAAATTGTGATTTTTGGAAAGAGCAAAAGAACTGGGCACCACTTTGTGCTGTTCTAGATCACATTTTTTAGCCACTGGCAACATTTAACAAATAATGAATTTTGAGATTCTGTCTCTGGATTTGTAAACATTTTTGATGGGTCCCATGTTGTCAGCAGCAGTAGAGTCTTTTTATCTTAATTAAAGCCAAGAGTTAACAATAATGCAAGCAGCTGGTATAGTTCAACAATCCAAAACTCGCCTTTTGATTTTGAGCAGCCAGTATGTGCCTGGTAAAGGTTGTAGGATGTGCATTATAAGACTGAACAACAGGATGTTACTAGTTCATTCCAATAAGCAAAAGGCCATGCCTTGTAACTTAACAGAAAAAGAAAAGTTTGTGCACTTCTCAAAAAAAGGAGGATTACAGTATATTCTCTATTCTCACAGAGCTAAAATCTTTCTTCTATCGGAAAAAAGAATCCTGTACCCTGGAGAAAAGCTGAAAAAGTGCAGAATTCAAGATAAAGTGGAGTGTGTTATACTGAAACCTCAACCCCCCTGATACTCCAAAATTACAAAATTAATTACTCAAATAACCATCTTATTTGCCAGAAGGCTGTCGCCTTCACCCCGTGGAAATGCACCATCACGTGTGGGGATTGTAATATGAAGTAGGCTGCTAATGTTTGAATGCTATGTTTTTAATTCTAGTAGATACTCAATTAATCAGGACAACAGAGTGATTGCTTTCAATTAATCATAAGCAATGCTGATGCACAACGCCTTCACCTTTAGGCCTAATCAAAATCATTGTTTGTGATGAATTAAACATAAATCTAATCAGATCTTGCTTTTAAGTATTTCTGAACGAGTCCCCCAGAAAAGTATTACAGAAAATGTGCTATGATTATACTGGCAAATAACAACTTTGTAACAAAATCCTTTTTAACAATAGCTTAGAATTACCAAATATTTTACTATCTAGCTTGTTTTTAGCTATGATTATACTAGCAAATAAAAACTTTGTAACAAAATCATTTTTAAGATTTCTTTAGAATTACCAAATATTTTACTATCCACCCCTCAGTTTGGAAAATAATTTCTGTGCATTTTAGTACACATGACTCTCATATCTGCTTAGGGATTAAAAGGAAAAGCAGACAGGCTCCCCTCTCCTGTACATCTTTCAAGATATAGATCTTTGATGAGCTAAAAGTTCAGCGGCGCCATACTGGGAGGGAGTGGTATGTCCCTGCAAAAATACAGGAGCCCAAGAAACCACAGGAGTTGTTTATAAAACAGAGATGAGTGAACAGTTTGTTGTTGTTTTCATCATATGGTTTGGCTTTGAATTGTATTCTGGAACAGTACTGGTTGAGCCCAAAGCAAAGGCTAACACAAATTCAAGAAAGAGACTTAAGAGAAGCAGAAGGAGAGGTGTAATCCTGAAAGAGAAAACTGATAGTAACAAACTGCTAATAAGCTGAATAAATGTCACTCACAGTACTGCCAGTGAAACAACAGACATCCTGCCTTGGGGTGAGTAAAGATGAAGTTCTATATTAAATAGTGTAAAGTATAACAGAGGCAGTTTAAGACAAAAACTTAAAATAAAAAAGCCTGATGGTATTCTACCTATATATATAAGGAAACAAGATATGTTATTCAAAAGCTGTTAACAAAACTCTTCCAACTTTCCATAAAGATAGGAGTAATACCAACTGAATGGAACATTGTAATGCAGCACCCACACATACAGTAAATAGATTTACAAAATGTAACAAATAATTACAGAACTGCACTTCTATGACATTAAAAGGTTAAAATGATAATCAAAAATAAACTAAAATTCTCTGTATGGTAATATGATTTTAGAGTGATTCCTCAAACCTGTTTCTGGAAGAACATGGTTTCAGTTGGATTCCAACTGATGTCCTTCAGTGCTTAAACTTTTTTTTTCTTTGTTCAGTTCCGAGTGTCAAATATACTCTAATTCAAGGGTGTTGTTTCCAACTTCAGCACACAGAACGTTACACAGCACTTCTCAACTTGCTCTCTGTTATTTCTGATTAAACAGCTCTTACTAGTTGATCAATGTGTAATGAGAAACTAACAGTAGGTGGGAATGACACTGCAATCAGACACTCCCACAGTGACAGTGAGGTCCAGATGGTTACATTTCGTGGACTATTACTGAATGAGTGCAGTCCTGAAATTCAGACGTTGGTACAGCATTGATAACAATGACCATTCTTATTTGACCTTTTAAAAGCTGAAAACAAATTCACAAATATGTTCCACAAAGAAAACAGAAATCAATGAGCCTTTGATTAATAACTCATCAAAAACCAAAAGATACTGTGTTCCTCCAGGACAAGGGTTAGGAACCACTGCTCTTGGGAAATACAAATGAAAAAGGCAATTCTTGCTTGTGCCAGTAAGCTTTTCAAAAGACATAATTTTCATCTTCTAGGCAATGTAGAAAAGTTATGCAGTAGGAAACTGAGACCCCAGGTAGTATAATCTTTACAAATTGGTCACCTTGAAAAGAACTTCTGAAATCCATCCAAAGAAGAGTAAATAGCTATATTACCGGACTGCAGTGACAGGCTAAAAACCAGAATTGTTTCAATATTTAACAAGAGAAGACGATAATGGTGCCTGATTCATGCATTCGCAATCCTGAAAGAAACTATTCCTATGGATTATTATGAATTTTGGTATGAACACAGAAACACAAACCAGTTGACACAAATGGGGAAATGCATTTAAAAACTGTTACAGGAGGCTCTGTTTTACAGAAAGCATGCCTTTAAGGATTTGAAATATTTTCCTTGAATCGGGCCCTCCTGAAGTCTTCTCTGTTGAAGAGTTCTTTAGCCCATAAATGTATAGCATTCCTTTTTGGCCAGAATGTGTGCTGATCGCTATTCTAGATCATTGGTCTAAATGAAGAAAAAATAAATCTTATATATAGATTCCTAAAGTGTCACAGTCACCTTGTCATGCTATCTTTTCAGAAACAAGACATTAAATCAAATATTTCTTGTATTCACTGTCTGGTGCATGAAAGGTAAGATGAGAAATTTTAAATTTTAAGTCTTAGGTTGGAAATAGAAGAAAGCTGAGGCATCAATGTCGTGAGAAAAAAATTTCAACAAATGCCTTCCATGTTTCAAAAAGACCCTTAACAGTTTGATCTGCACCTCACAGACGGAGATTATGTTCATTCATACTGTATATGTGTGGTAATGTCTGCAAGAAACATTACCCCACACACATTAGTTTCACAGTCTATTTTTGGCCAGTGGCCTGACATTCTGAGTTGTCAACGTACAGGTGCTTACTAGAAGACAAAGGCAGTGAACAGGATGCAACACCTGGAAGTGGCTGGCTCAATCCATACAGGTCGAGCAGGACTAGGATGGGGACAGCCTCTTTGTCTATGGTCCAAATCCAACAAGAAGGCATGTAAAGAGATGGTGGTCATGGAGTTGACAAGATGGAAGAGGAGAGATGTGTCACGGCTTTCTGTCAGGGTGATCTACAACCCTCCTACAAACCTCCACAGGTGGTATGGGATGGAGGAGGCTATAGTGGAGGAGAAGCGATACGACTGGAGGCCAAAAACCCCTAATTAGAGAGAGGCCAGCTGAAAGGGATGGCATGGAGACGTCCCTGTCATAGCCCCGTCACTAGGAGATGTACCAGGGTAAGGGGAGAAACATCTTGATGAATGGAGGTCCCCATCTCCACCATCTCACCATCTCATCAAAAAGGGCTGAGAAAAGCTAACAACTAACTTTGATTTCTTAGCAACTACCGTTTTGTCCAAAATGGTTGACTTTACACTTCAATGTGAAAAATGTTATCAGTGCTACGGATTGTGAGCTTTCCTATGAAAAACAATAGACTAGCCCTACTTATAATAATGCAATAAATAAACCAAGTGATTTTTTTCACACCAAAGAGCTTTCATTGGGTAGCATGTTATAGAGAGTCACAGAAGAGTCAAGCACAGTTTTAATAATTTGTATCA